TTGTAGATGGGGAGGGGAGGAGGGGGTGAAGGGAGGGCAGAGGTAAGGGGAAAAAATGAGAATCAAGACTTGCCATGTAAAGGTACATGATCCCAACAATGAATGTAACTGTACTGTATCCCTAAATGTACCAATAAACTCAAAAAAAAAAAATTGGATGATATCAGCCAGGCATGGTGATGCACTCTGGAAGGCAGAGGCAGGAAGAGCGCAAGTTTAAGCATAGCCTGGGTAATTTAGTGACTCAGTGAGTGTTATGGTTTGTGTCTAGATGCTCCCTTAAAGCCTCATGTGGTCATAGGCTATTTTGCAGGTGGCTGAATCTAGAGTGTGTGATTGATTCATGGTGGGGGTAGGCCCAAGGGCACTAGGATTAAAGGTGTGAGTGCTACCTGCCTTAGGTAGTCTGAATAAGATAAAAGGGGCCGGGAGGTACTGTTAAGGTCTCCTATTGCTCTTACTATCCTGTGGGTGCCATGAACTGTTTCTTCTCCTTGTTGCCCCTTTGCCATGTGCCACTCTACCTTGGAGCTAGCTGATTATGGACTGAAACCTCTACAAACTGTAAATCTACTGAAATATCTATGAACTCTAAGTCTAATAAACCCTTTCTCCTTTATCTTTGGGTATTGGGTATTTATCTCAGCAAGGAGAGAAGAGAAACTAACACAGTGAGACTGCTCCAAGAAAAAATAAAAATAAAAATGGCTGGAGATATAGTGTGAAAGCCCAAGGGGTAATCTCTAAAAGAGTCAGAAAAAAAATAGATGGTATATTTTAACTAGCAAATTTATTCCATTTTCTCGTATTGTGATTATTAATGCATTTGAACTTTGCACTTTTTGCTTTTTAAAACTTTTGTAAAAATGCTTCATTTTTCTCATGTTTGACCTTTTGGATTAAATATAGATTTCTTTAGTACATTTTCTTTACTGCTTTAGATATTATGTTCCCTATTTTTATTATTTATTGATCATCCTTGAAATCTAACCATTCATATCAAACTTAAGTGTAGGGCTAATCAATATATTATCAGTACACTAGCAATAGTTGAGAGCCTCAACTGTGATTAATTTGGACTGAACTGTACTTATTTTCTTAAGTTAGATACACTCAAAGTCAGTAATGAACTCCTTTTTTTCCTGCTATTGCAGTATCATACTTTGACCTAAGACATTTTAATACTTTAAAATATGTGTCTCATGTGAGACAAACTGCTATTTTTCATGCTACCAAGGAAAAGTAGGAACTAATTTTAAAGGCCCAAAGAAGCCTAGGATTTCCCAGATCACCTATCTGATAACAGTACTCCTAGTTTCAGTAAGGAAATCAGTAAGTGGTGAATTCAACTGATTAACATAATAGACAAAGCTAATTTCAAAAGTCATATTTCAAGAGGCCTATCTAATAGCTTTAAGTGGAAAGGAATTGTTGCAGGATTTCTTAAATTTTCTTTTTTATCTTTCACATTGAATCACATATTAAAACCTACTCACTGTTTCTACAGGAAGCCCCCTTAGACACAAATATCTCATTCCATCAATTCCTTTTTTCTCATAAAACTATTCTATAGGAGCGATCACTTTGTCACTGAGAATATATTGTCAGAGGGAAAGCACTCTCAGTTAATTGTAGGCTATTAATTTTCAACCACAAGTTATAGAAGGAAATCTCATTTGGACTTTGACCTCTTCAACTCAAATATTCCATTTCTTTTCAGTACTGGATAATGAACCCAAGCCCTTACACACTCTAGGAAAATGCTCTAACATCTAGCTGCCTCCCCAGGCCCACGATTACTTGAAATTCTATTGATTACTATTCCATTTATAACATTATTCTTAGTCCATAGCCTTGATTAAACACAAAAATGGAATTGAAGGAAGGATATTGTGATGTATCTTATAAGTAAGGGAAAAGCTGAATAACCTAGGCTGATAAAGGGTAGAAATAAAAACAGCTTCAGCAACACCAACAGAAGTTTGCATCACTTTATATCTGTGTTTTCAGTTTTTGAATTTATCAGGTCATATTATTTTTAAAAATCTTCTTGATTTAATTGTTTGTGCAACACCATATATTGACGCAGGAAAAATAGGACTACTCAGTGTAAGCATAGTTATGAGAACTACTCCGTTGTACCCAGGACCTAGATACACAATATAAAAGGTAAACGCTGTGGTACAGAATGTCTAAAGAATGTCTTAAAAGTCACATTTCAGGAATAATAGAATAATATACTGCGCCTGTTCATTTCCTAGTATTGATAGTTGTTATTTTGCTAAGTTGTAACTTCCACAGAAATAGTATTTTAAGTCCCAGCTGAACCTGTTCTTTGCTGATTTTTTACATGTGGTATGATTTAAGACACAGAAACCCAAACTTTAGGGAATGAAATGTTTGTCTATTATGTGATTCTTTGCTCATTCTTAAGGCCAGACTACACATCTCTCTAAGCTTCACCTGAAGGGCATGAAAGTTTATACTGTTAGTCAAAGCAAAGGAAGATGGTTGAATTACTTTAGTGGAATCAAACTAAGAGATGCTGATGCACCCATCTTCATTATACGACCTCAATTGAGACATTAATGTTCTAGGACTGATATATTTTTAGGACCTCCTTATTAAATATTTAAAAAATCTTGTGACTAGTGTCATGTTGTTACCATAGCAATGGTATTCTTTTTTAAATGGCCATGGCTTCAGGGTCATATAGGTTACAATGGTCACAGTAAAACTGAATATTTCAACATTAGGCCATAGAGTTCTCCATTAATTTTTTCCTAGGAGAAGAAAAATTTTAAAAAGCCTTCCTATTATTATCATTACCATTAATCTCTTTAGAAAAATATTCAAGTATCACAAGCTCTCAATTTTACAGTTGTGTGGGCAAGTTTTCCAAAATTTTAATTTTACCTGAATGTTCAAATATTGCTGCTGGTGACAAATACTGTCAGTTGTTTCCTTGAAGCCCCACTTAATTTATTTTCAAGAAAATGTCTGGCAAATATACTTGTTGTTTAAATTATAGTTTCCCTGCCAGGCATTCTTTAAGTAAAAATGGTGTTCCAATATAGGAATAGCTAATTCAGTGCATAATTCAAATAGATGTGCAAATATTTTCCTTAGAGACAATTATTGTCCTAAGATGTGCAGCACAAGTTCTTGACCCATACTTTCTACTTCATAACACAGACTATTAAAAAGATGCGAACCCAAGCATCAAGATCTAATAAAATTTATAATTATATTATGAACAAAGGCTTTATTAAACATTTAAAAATTAAGATGTGTAACAGTTTTACTTACCATTGCTTTTGTACCACCAGTGTAAATGTCAACCTTGCAAAAACAGCAAATATTCTATTAATGTTGTTTTAAAAGTACTTTTGACCTTAAATTTTAGGGACCTGCAATAGTCCATGGGCTACAACTGAGAATCACTGATCCACAATATGCCCCCAATTTTATGTAAAAATACACACAGAGATGTACATAATACACTTCTGAAAGAATTTCAAGTAGTTTTATATTGTATGGATATTTTTGACTGATGCCATAGGCTCTTATATATGGTGAATGTCTTTCCTTGACATTATATTAGTACACCAAAGTTTTCAAAGGTGTATTTTTTTTTTTTTGTACTGGGGATTGAACTCGGGTCCTTGCGCTTGCGAGGCAGGCAGTGGAACCACTGAACTAAATCACCAGCCCCACAAAGGTGTATTTTTAATTGACAAATATTGTATAGATTTTGGGGGCAAAACATGAATTAATGTATGTAAACATCATTTAGTGGTTAAATTGAACTTTTAAAACATTCAGCACCTTACACAGTTACCATTTTTTTGTGGTTAGAACACTTAAAATCTAAGTTTTAAACAATGAATATTACCCAATTGCCCTCTAGATAAGTTCAACCAATGCATAATGCCAATCTATTCCTTTTCTATATGCTCCCATTCCGAGTCCCTATTTCAGTCGTGCCATAGCCTATCATGAACTTGCACAAAAATGATTTTGTGAAAGTTGTCAGAAATGCAGGCTGGGTATGGTGAAATCTTAGGGACCTTTCCCATTTTTTCTTGATTGCTTTGGTGGACCAAGGAGGTGAAGAAGGAAGACACAGTGTCCTTGCTTTTAGATGAAATCAGGAGAGGGGAAGAGGGCCCCACGAAAATCCTCACCAGTGCTCCTCTTCCAGAGAAAGGTTAACCTAGACCTCTAGTCCTAGGAATCCAACCACTGATCTGAGCCATTTTTTTTCAGCCACACAATTTTTTTCCTCAGTCCAAATGGGAACTACTTTATGATTATGCAGTCCTCACAGATGTCCAAAAGGCCCTTCCCTGTCAGGATCTGTACCAGATCACATAATCCTCTCACTTTGTGGACCCATAATCAAGTGTAAAGTGGCAGCTCTTTGTCTGTTTTTTGCTTTTGTAAATTTCTTATAATCAACATACACTAACAGCTCCTTTAGCCACCACCCCATTTCATGAATCATCATCTCTTGCTTGATTTATTATTTTGCTAAGAAATGTTCTCACTACCAGTCCTTATCACTAACCCTATGCCAGTCCTAATCCACCTTACTTATTGCTGTCAGATTATTTTGCCTTTTGTCAAAAATATCCAGTGACCCATACATAGGATACGGCAGGATAGCGTTTCCGTATCTCAGCTTGGAACTCACAATCTTCCTTAGAATTCTTTACCTTAAAGTACCACCTTTATCTCTCCTCACAGATTCCATTCTAGGCAAGCTGATTTTCTATCATGGCCACATATTTCCCACATTCATGCCTTTCTTTCAATCATTCCCCCCAGCCGACTGGCCTTGAGGCCCGTATCAAGCATGCCCTTCTTCAATGAAGCTCTGCTTCAGTTAGCCAGATGCCAAATATTTGACAACAACACATATGGGTACTGGTATTTATGACCTTATTTGTTCAGGATTTTAAGCTCAAAAATAAGAATATTTAAAAAAATTTGAAACATTCAATTTTATTGATGATACACGAATGAAGTCTTTGGTGGATAAATTCAAGTCAAAACAAATAATAGCAGAGTAGGCCATTTATAATGGACAGGTATGCTGTCAATTCACAGAGGAACCAGTAAAAATACTCCATCCAAGCAGCATGATTAAAGTCACAATGTATTTTCAGTACAAGAGGACTATTTGGTATTCATGAGACAGTTTAGCTTAAAGCTGGTGACTGTCACAGATAACATCACTCTGGAAGATTCATTATTCAAAACCGGCAGCTGAAAGTACCTCTTTACCAAATAAGCAAATGAAAATGCAGTAACTTTAAATTTTCCATATTTCCAGGCCAGGAAACTAAGAAATTTCATCTTTTGAGAGTGTATAGTAATCAGAACTTGTTCACTAATTTTATAACTTTCACTTTCACCAGGAGATCATGATGATTTGCCAAAGCGCGAATTTTCTTAACACACACTCCAGATGCAGTGCACAAGTAAAAAAGGGAACCTTTGTTGAATTCTCTGTAGTTGTATACTTCTGCTCTGAGGTTGTCATAGATAATCTCAAATAGAGTAAGGGCATTAATAAGAATTTCTGATTCCACATAAGAATTATACAAGGAACTAAATGACGATGGCACTTGGGTACTGAGAAGTTTCTTTAGCATGTCTGGATTTTCAGCAAAATTCGAAAGTATTTTCAAAATCTCAACTTTGATTTTTCCACCTCCCTGAGATAACAAACGGAAAAAGTTTGCAATGGAATTGACAAGCAGGTGCTGGTAGTCATTAGTAATAGTCATGTTTGTTAAAAATTTTAGTCCTACTACCTGTACTGCAGAGTTCAGGTTGGAGGCCATGATATCATCCATCACTTTATTCATGTATACCTGAAGCCAGCCCTGGTTTTTATAATTTTCACTCAGATTATTCATGGCCATCAAGGCTTTTTCCTTAATATGAGGATCAGTTTTGTTGATCATGTTTGCAATAATCGGGAGGCCTCCCAATTTACGAATTGTCTCTTGATTGCATGAATAATTGGCATTGTTGCTCAGAGTGAGCAAAGCCACCTGCTGGATGAAAGGATCATCCGACTTTTGAAGCAAAGCAAGGACCTTCCTGAGATCTCGCACACCCAGAATCTCATCAATTTCATAAGGAAAGGGGCGCTTTTGCATGGCAATTGTTTTTTTTCCTCTCCCTCTGCATTGGGTCTCAGGTTCAGAGTCTGAATCTGACTCTGTGTCAGTCCACCCAGACTCCCCTTCCTCAGAATCAGGGACTTCTGCTAGGAAAGCATGTCCCCCATTAGCAGAGGCTGCAGCAGCTGCTGCAGCTCCATCACCAGGGCGAAAGCCCATCCCCAATTCGTCTACTTCAGCCTTGCTTTTCTTGCTCTTGCCCTTGCCTCCAGTCCGAGACCTGTTTCCACCCTTGGCCCCACCTTTAGGTACAGCTCCGGTGGCTGATCCAGCCTTAGGTATAGCCCCAGTGTGAGCTCCAGGGGTTGCCTTCCTGGCAACTGCTGCTGCTGCTCTAGTAGACTCTGAAGTCCCAGGGACCTCTGCAGCCCTGGCAGTTATTGCTGCCCCAGCAGGTGTGGACACAGGAGCCTCTGCTGCCTGTCCAACTGTTGTCATTCCAGGACCCTCTGCCACCTCAGTGGGTGCTGTCACTGCAGGAGCTTCCATAGTTTCTGTGGCTGCTGGTGCCTTAGTAGACACTGCTGTCCCAGGAGGCAACACTACTGCCCTGGGAGGCACTACTGCCCCGGGAGACATTGCTGCCTTGGGAGGCATTTCTACCCCTGGAGGCACTGTTGCCCTGGGAGCCTCTGCTGTGCTGGGAGCTTCTGCTATTTTGGGAACCTCTGCCACTGCAGAACCTTCTAGAGCTATGGGAGCTTCTGCCACCCCTAGAGGTTGTGCCATTACAGAGGTCACTGCAACCTCTGTTACTAATTCAGTATTAGACCCAATTCCTACTCCATCTGCCTCCTGGGCCAGACTTTCTGCCTCACTCTGAGACTCAGTGCTGGATAAAGCTGGGACGACTGTCTCAGCCCCAGCCATGTCGAGAGCAGGGGCTTCATCTTTGGCCTTGTCCTCTGTCGCAGCATAGACTGTGGTTGGGGGACTGAATCCTGGCCCAAGGTCGAATGTGAATCCAGCCCTCAGCCCAGCTCTAGCCCTGGCTCCAGTCCCAGCCACAGCCCGGTTCTTGGGCTTGGCCAATCTCCTCTTCTTCTGGTCTCTTCCCCTGGTGTATTTGTAGACACAGTACCAGGCACCAGCTCCGATCACTATCCCTGCTGCTACACAGCCAGCATCCCGAACACGGCTCATGGTGCAGCTGGGGTGATTCTCTGATCCAGGGCACAGAACTAGCTTGCCTGAATAAGATGAATGCACGTCAAGGCGAGGATTCAGGCTTTCAAATTCTGCCAAACTGTCAACAGAGCGAGACCTAGGAATAAATGTTAGAAATGAGGTTTAGGGTACTGGCTCACTTTGTGTTTAATGAGGCTTACTTAGAGAAGAGTAGGGGGACACAGGGCCTAGCTAGTGGGCTAGCACCCAGAAACGGGAGCACAGTTATTACATATGCTGACTTAGAGATTTAATAGACCCCCACTTGCACTCTCAGCGGTAAAACCTATAATTTTCTCCCTTAAGTGGGAGAGATGAGAGTATGGAAAGCTAGTGGTGATGGGAAATCTCATGTTCAGTTCTCAGGTCCCTCCACCATATCCACCCTCCCAAAGGTCCCTATATGGTGCTTATGCACGTACCAACTTCTGGGATCAGGAAGTTTGCTCTTTTCCACAGCACCTGCAGTTTCACACAGCAAAAAAGACCTGAGGACAGAACACAGAAAGTGAGTTTGTGAGCTGTTGGAAAACAGATTCTGGTTTGTTTCCTGACTGGCACTTTTGGGTGTACAGTTTCTCCTTGTCAGGGTTCCTCTTTTCCTCCCACTTCCTAACTGCTCAAACAATTAACTAATAAGGTATATGACACATCCATTTCCCAGCACCAAATAAGTCAGACCATAGGAAGATGCAGGAGAAGCAGCTTTTGGTCCTAGACTGTGCTCTGGTTTCTGTCACATCCACAGCAGGGGTCCCAAGACAGCAATCCAGTTTCCAACTTTAACACTGATCTCCAAGGATTCAAGGCCGTTTCTCCTCCCTTTAGTTCAATTACAGCTTCATGCTAAGGACAGACTGAAGGGCAGACAAATAGACTGCAGACATTGGAGACTGAGTGCTCAGTAGATAAATGAGCATCCAGGATAAGCATCCCAGTACTTGTCTTTTAGTGTTCACTCACAAGGATATCAAAGGAGGTCTACCTCCCAGTTTATTCTGTTCTCACTCCTCCCATGTCATCCCTCTTTCCACTTTGCCCCGCCCCCAGCCGCCATTTCTCCCAGATGCACTGCCCCACCCCTTCTCTTGCCCAGAACTGAGGGCGGGGTGTGAGGCGAGGGTGCGGGGAAAGCTGGATGGGAAGGGGTACGGGGGATTCTTGCCAGACAGTTTAGTGTTCCCCACCATAGTCAACCGTTTTTCACTCTCTAGCCCCGAGGCCTCACATTGGCCTGCATCAACATCGTATCTTCTCGGTTTCAGGGTCGAGATTTTCCATGATTTCTTCACTATGGGCTCCGCCTCCCACTCCCCACACCAAACCTCTGATAACCGCCATTTCTCCCTCCCTGCATACCCGAATTCCTTTTCCAGGATAGAAAAGACGAAGATGAAGGGCTGGGTGGATCGGAGGTGTCTGGAAAGTAGTCTGGGAATTAACACTACGGTTTAGTACCAGATCCTGTCAGCGTTCTCTCTCTCGAGAAGCCCAGAGAGCGCCAAACCCACCACCTCTCCTATAAAGGCTGGCAAACCCGTTCCCACCCCCCCAAATGACAGAGGTCTGGGGGAGGGGATGCACCGTCGGTGGTAGGGAGGGGTATGCAAAGTAAGGGCGGGAGCGAACGGTCTGGTTTGTTTCAAAATTCCATGCCCCTGGGATCAGCGGTTCCCAACCTCCCCTGTGGCCTTGTATGCGCTGCCAGGTTTATTTCTCTTCCCTCCCCCTCTCAAAGCAGGACTGGATGTGGAGTGCGGGCCTGAGTGTCAACCCCCCCCCAAAAAAAAACACCTCCCCCCCCCAAAAAAAAAACACCGGCTGGGAGGACCATAAGCAAATTCCGCTCAGGCTCAGTGTTTTCGTCCCCCCTCCCCCTCTTCCTGCCGCCACCAAAATGAACTGCGTCTGAGAGCCCAGGGTCTGGAAAGGCGGCCCCAGGAGGAAAGGCGGAGGAGCCCGCAGCCTCGGACTCCGGTATCCCTAGGCTATTCCTACTTAGGGATCCCAGGCGCTGACCACCCTCATACCAACCTGCCGGGAAATTTTCGCCTTCTCCTCCTCCTTGCCTGGGTTAAATGAGCGGCTGTGCGCCGCGCAATAGAGTTGGTACCCAGAGGAGGGCTGGGGACGGCGGTCAGGGCTTTAAGTATTTTTGCCCACGTCAGCTCCTAGTCACGTGAGGGGCTCCTCGCCAGTAAGCTTGGATCCTCAGTTTCTACTCCTACCAAGAGTATGAGCCCCTTCCTTTATCCCCACTCCCACCTCACCCCAACACATCAGGTCCTGTCACTCATTCTTCTGCTTTTGTAGTTTTAGAGGTTAAAAAGTAGTCCCTTTTTTCTGGTTACTGAGGAGACCCTGTATCTTTTGGGAGAGCTGAAATTTTATTATATTTTAATCGGGGAATTGTCTCATCTTTTCCTGGGGTACTGGACACATCCTGGCTCCACCTCCAACCTAGTGGCTATCATCACCCTTAAAACAGAGTCTCTACTCCAATATAGATAAGGGGGGGGAGTGTCAGAAAGGAGACAAGGAATATAGTCTGTACTAAATGAATATTCTTGATCTGTTAAAAAAGCCAATATCATGCTTGATTTTTAAAGTAAAAACCCAATAAAACAAGATTTCAGAGTAGGAAACAGCAACAAAAAATGGGGATGCTTTCTAAAAATTTTTTTCATTTCCATTGTAAGGCATTATTAATTGTGGTTAATTTTTGCCACATCAAAGTGAATTCTATTTACCACCTAAGAAATAGTTATCAGAACATGCTAAGGTATTTGAACACCTAAAATATTTCTTGTAATAAGATTATCATATTTTCATAGGATCTGTAAATTGATTCATGGATAGATGTTAAGTTATCCAATCTTATTTGTTTTGGAAAAACAATGTGAGACTTTTTCTACTTCTGGGACAGCTTTTAAGCTGAACAAATACATGATCTTGTCCTTCTAAAGAAGCATATTTATTTAGCATTTCCAAAGCAATGCTAAATTCTGTGTGAACCTCCTCCAATTTGATGGCTGTAACCATGATAGATTTGAACACCTGTTCCTGAATACGATTCTAGTGTAGTCATTCAGCTGTTGGTAAAAAGAAGAGGTGAAAAGCTGAGGCAACTAAGGAACTGAAGAGTGCTGGGTGCTCAGATTCTCCCTACGCTGTCTAGAGAGGTGGAAAGTGCTGTCTTCCCATGCCTTCCGTGTTCCAGAGTCTTTTATCCTTTGCATTCAGATACCTGAATCTGTTGCTTACTCTAAATATATACACGGACAGGTAGCCAAGGTGGTGACCTGAATTAATACATTTGGCCCCTATCCTACCTCAGATTCCCGTAAGTACAACTGAGTGATATATAGAACAGATAACCGTTTCCACCTGCCATTACAGCTGAGGATTTTCATGAAGTCTGAAAAAATGATGGCTGGGGGAAGTTCCTAGGCCTGGTTATTGTCTGTCATTCATTCAAGTGACCTGATGAAAGTTACTCCTAACACTGTGTACTACTACCACCTGGCCTGAGGTGCAGCCTGATGGACCTCTGACTTTTGGCCTCTAACTATAGGTCACCGAGGAACAGGCTAACCTTGTTGCAAGGTCACTGCCTTTCAGTCTCCATCTACTTCGGTTCCCCTCTCAGCCAAATACATGCCCAGGCCCCCCAAAAAATCCCCACAGAACACATTAATTGACTGAGAGTAGGTATTCTCATAGGTCCAACTCTGGACCATTTGAAACTGTATTAGCTCACAAGATTTTGTTTGTGATTTTAAGTGTGGCAAGTGCGTGTGCAAAAGTATTGGTTTAAATCCCTAGCACTGCAAAAAATTTTCAAACTATAAGGAATTATATAAGTTAAACAAGGAAAGAAACTTTTCCCATCTTTGCTATCCTAGCCACTGCTAAAGATTTACAACATTCTTTTTATGTGCACATTAGTAAGCAAATACATGCTTGTCTTAGTTACTTTTCTCATTGCTGAGACAAAAATTCTCAACACCGAAAGTTAAAGAAGGAAGGGTTTATTTCAGCTCACAGTTTGTTGAAGTCTCAGTCATAATTGGCTGGTTCCAAAGCAGGGTGATGGGGCAGACAAGCATCACAGAGGAAAAACAGTCCGTGATCAGGCAGTCAGGAAGGCAACCAGCAGCCAAAGCAGTGAGCAGCAACAATAGGCTTCTCTTCTTTTTGTCCCTTTATATTCCACCCAGGCTACAAGCATATTGATTGGTCCCACCCATACCCAGTGTAGGGCTTCTATTAGCCACACCCTTACCCAGTATCATATCCATGATCTACATCCACACATCCTAGGCAATCCACATTTGAAACTCCCCATCTATGACAATGTATGGGTTTGGGAAGGGACATCTAGGCACCAGCCATAGCATCTGTTTATTAATCAAGATCTAAATTGACCAACAATAACAAATATAAGAATGGGGATTTGTATTGTAATTGCAGTATATCAGCAGATTAAATTGGTGAGCATTAACATCTTAAAATTGAGAATTTTCTTCAGGAATATGGCATGGAAACCTTGCATAGCTGCATTTTAATTTTATGTTTGTAATCAAATTTAGTATATTTCTATGGGAAGCTAATTCATATTACTTGCTAGGTTTTTCTTAGGTATTTAAAGTAGTCTTTGTGGCTGAAATGCTATTTCTTTTCAAAAATTAATTCTATTGGTACACTTTAGTTATACAATACAATGACATTCATCATTGGAGATTTTTGCCTTTACATAATCTATCATTTTTTTTCCTCATTGAGTTTACTGGTACATTATAGGTGTATAGTACAGTTACATTCATCATTGGGATCTTGAACCTCTACATGACAGGTCTTGGTTCTCATTTTTTCTCCTTGTCCCCGCCCTCCCTTCACCCCCTCTTCCCCTCCCCATTTACACTTTATTTCCAGTTTTTCATTTTACATAATCTATCTTGATTCTTTTTTCCCCATTCCCCTGCACTCCCTTCAAGCCCTCGACCCCTTTCCATTTACAAAGGCTTTGTTTTTATTGTTTCATTTTCTCATATTAATTGCACTCCCTTCTTTCCTTTCCCCTACCCCTTCCACTTCTCCTTCTTCTTTGCACCTTCTCTTCCTATTTACCATTATCTATTATACCTTTTAGTCCTTATTTACACTTTCAGTTTTTCACATCAGAGAAACTATTTGGTACCTACACATGCATGTCCTATTTATTTAAATTAAGATTATGGTCTCAGTGTGCATCTGTTTAGCTATAAATGTGTCCAGTTTCTCATTCTTTACAGCTGAATAGTACTTCATTTTATAAAAAAAAACCCCACATTTCCTTTTTTTCTCTCTCTCTCATTGAGTTTATTGGTACATTTTAGGTACACAGTACACTTACATTCATCATTGGGATCGTGTACCTTTACATGACAGGTCTTGGTTCTCATTTTTTCCCCTTGTCCCTGCCCTCCCTTCACCCCCCTCCCCTCCCCATTTACAAACACATTATCTCCATTTTTTCATTTTATCCTATTATTTTCCTTTCCTTTATTTCCTTTCCCCTATTGTTCCCACTTTTCCTACACCTTTAGCCCCTTTTTTCCTATTGCACATTGTCAATTATCTGATTAGGATCTTATGTACTATTATAGTTTATTCACACCAGAGAAGCTATTCGGTGTTTACACATATGTGAATTATTTATTTCACTTAGTAGTATATCCTCAATATGTATCCATTTTCCTATGAATGAATCTAATTTCTCATTCTTTATGGCTGAGTAGTATTCCATTTTATAGAAAAACTGCATCTTCTTTATCCAGTTTCCAACTGATGGGCAAATGGGCTATTTCCAAGTTTTAGCTATTACAAACTGTGCTGCTAAAAAAATGGGTGTGCATTTATCGCTGTGGTATGATTCTTTTAATTCTTTTGGAAAGATACCCAGCAAGGGGATAGCTGGGTCAAATGGAACCTCTAGTCCCAGCTCTTTGAGGTATCTCCATAGTGGTTGCACCAGTCTGCACTCCCGCCAACAATGGAGAAGGGATTCTTTCTCCCCAGAACCCCACCAACATTTGTCATTGGTCAATTTCTTGATAGCAGCCATTCAGTGTGGGGTGAGGCGGAATCTCAGTGTTGTTTTCATCTGCATCTCTCGAATGACCAGTGATGTTTAATACTTTTTCATATATTTACTTGCTGCCTTTACTTCTTTGTCTGAGAAATGTCTGTTCATTTCAGATGCCCATTTTTAGATTGGGTCTTTAAATTTTGAAGGTTTGATGTTTTAAAAGTCTTTACCTATTCTAGAAATTAGACCTTTGTCTGAGGAACAGCCAGTAAAAATTTTTCCCACATTGTGGGCTGTCTCATCACACTATTGGTGGTTTGTCTTGCTGTGCAGAAGCTTTTTAATAAGAAGATCCCACTTGTTGATTCTTCACTCTAGTTCACGTGTGACTGAGATTTTGTTTGTGAAATCTTTTCCTACACTAATGTCTTCAAGAGTTCTACATAAGCTATCTTCCAATTAGTTTCATGTTTCTGTTTTAATATTTAGACCTTTAATCCATTTCAATTTTAATTTAGTGCAAGTTGAGAGATATAGGTCTAGTTTTAATCTTTGGAAAGTTGAAACCCAATTTTTCAAGCACCATTTATTAAAGAGACCATCACCTTCTAATCTATTCTATTGATCCTCAGGTCTATTTCTTTGCCAGTACCAGGCTGTTTTTACCACAGTAGCTTTGTAGTATAGTTTCAAATTGGGGATTGTGATACCCTCTACCTTGTCTTTGTTGGCTTTGCTATTCCAGGGCACTTCTTATTCCAAATGAATTTTTAGATTGTTTTCTCAAGGTCTGTGAAGTATGATGCTGGAGTTTCAATTGGGATTGCATTGAATCTATATAGCAGTTTTGGAAGTATGGCCATTTTCACCTACCCAGGAGCAAGGGATGTTTTTCTATTTTATGATATCCTCTTTGATGTCTTTTATCAGAGTGCTATAGTTTTCAGAGTAGAAATCTTTGATTTCTTTCATTAGGTTGGTTCCTAGGTATTTCATTTTTTGGGGGATGCTATTGTGAAAGGAGTTGTTTCTCCAGTTCCTTTTTCAATGACTCTGTTGGTCATGTACAG